AGCTTGTTCTGTATATCATGGTATAGTTCCTCGTACGATGTAGTCTCTGTTATATGTGTTGCCATACTGCCTTTTATATTATTCGTCCATTTCCATTCCCATCGATTATTTTCACCCAATTCAAAATCACCAAAATGACAAATCAGGAGTATAATTATATCTGTCAAGCATAGAAACAAAGAATTTATAAACGGGAATATTCAAAAATTCGACTTACAGTGGGAACAAAAATTATTAAAAATAAAACAGACGAAGATTCGTCTGTTAACAGATGAATTTTCGTCTGTTGTGGCCCATATCCACAGCCGAAATTTGTAAATGTAATCGAAAAACTAATACAGATGAATTTTTTTTTTCTTTCATGCTTAAAAAAATTATACATCTGTTAAAATAGTTAGATCTGGTATAACCTATGTCGATCTTAATTTATCGAGTAAAAACATACCATTTAACGAAAACGAAGTTAAAATATACGTAAATATACTTATCAAATCGAAGTAATTGATCGAAAACAATTTTTTTCTTCAACTATCGATCTTTTTTTAGATTTTCAGAGTGAAGAAGATGAGAGAGTTTTTATCTGTGTTTGCGCAGATTTTGTAATTTTAAGTAAGGAACTTTTGATTTTTATTTGTTAACTAAAAGGGTAGTATTATCTTTTTAACACAAACATGTATTGTAATTGTTTTAGTAATTTAAGGACGTTTTTATCTTTTTACAGCAAATGGGTCATTTTGGAAATATGGTTAAGTGTAAAAGTCAAAATGGAAATAGATCCCTTTAATCAGGTCATTTTTAAAAGAACCCTAGCTATGCCACACAAATTGACGAGGTTGAAGTGAATTAAAGTTGATACGTTGCACTCTCGCGCCTGCAGCTTGATTTTTTCCAATCAAATTCTTTCTTTCTTTTCCTATTTTTTTCCACTAGGACAAAGAATAAAGCTATATTTATATTGTTAGCCCCTGTTTGGTACACATTAAAATTTTCACTCTTTTTCTTCTACTCATTTTCAACCACACATCTTTCAATAAAATAATAATTTTCATCACATTAATAACTTTTCCTTTCTTTTTAACCACACATTCTCCATCAATCTACTATTCCAAAATACATTCTTTCAAAATAATGTGAATCAAACACACCCTTAGTTGATAATATATTTGACACTCTTCCTATGTAGCAAAAATCTGGACAATGATGCGATGATTGTGGTTAAAATACATAGTTTAGATCTAGCCACATTAAAGAATATAAACTTTAATGTAACTCATGATATACATATAGTATAATTGTAAGACAAAAGATGGAGTAGAACAAGAAAGTGAAGAGCGTAAAGAAAAAACAAATAAGATAAAGAATAATCGAATTCTCAATTAAAGAGAAAAATCAGAATGACGACATCTCGATCATATGGTTATCTCGACTCTCCCTATACTCATTTAACCTGATCATCGTTCTGCAGTTAGCTAGCTTTAATCCCTATTGAGCTTAATCTCAGATCAACCACTAGGAGAAAACCAACTTCTTTTGACATGAGACAAATGAAATTCTTAGATACTAGGCAAACTTTTCACATTGTTGGGCCTTAATAATGGTAACAATGGAGCAAAAAATGAATCAAATATGTCTTCTGATTCTACGAGTTATAGGTCATTCTACAGGACAGTTTGCATTATGGATGTCAAGCTTTGACGTAAAATTTCAGACCAAAGTTTATTCCCGGTGACTGGTTGAAGCAGTTACAGATCATAGAGATGCAACAATCCGAGCTATTACCTTGCTTTCCAAGTCTCTCTTTTGGAAGAATATTTATTACTGTAAAAACCCCATTTAAAACTTCCTACTAAACTCTGAAAATCTTGAGGAACTACACATCTTGTCCACTGTCATCAGAGCTGAGCAATTTATGATAAGGGAACCACCCTCTTAACAAGTGAGTTAACTTGAACTCATAATGTGTAACGACACCTTTATTGAATTCAACGTTGTCATCCTGCTTGTTCTCTAGGATCTCTATGTAATAACTCTGGCCATTCTCTTGTCTGTCCCTGTAGCCATTTAAACCACAAAATGACTTAAGCAAGACCAAATTAATCATAACATGTAACAATGATCAATAGCTTCAACAACCCTGTGTGAGCTAGGAAATCTATAATCTCCTGATTCCCATGCAGAATATTGGTTGGAATGCAAGCTCCAAGATAATCTTAAAAGGTTCGAAAAGACAAAATTCCTCATAACATATTCAGTGTTCCTCTTATGAATCAGAGGGAAGAAAAATGAGGGTGTAGTCATAATTTGATATAAAGAAACGAGATATCCAATGTAATGACTGGATACCCCTCAAAATTGGATGCAATATATATAATGTGCACTAGCACTTTTTAACAACACGAAAGAATATGATTTTCATCAAATATTCATGATGGCCTGCTATGAAAATGTCTATTTCAGTTGACTCTGTCACAATGATGGAGATCAGAATGCCTCTTGATGGGGGCAGTGTTTGATATAAAACCAACAATCACTGCTCTGAATGTAACGAACAGTCTGATAATAAGCAACTCACTCGTCGGGTTCATCATCTAAATCCGAGTCCTCTTTCTCTGATTGCATCTTTGCCAAATTGTAGTTGATAGAGTCATGGCGAATAAAGCGAAGCTGGAGGTGCCAAAAACATGAGAATTATGGCACAAGATAAAATGTGCAACATAAATTTTCTTATAGACAAAATTTTCAATTAAACCAAAGTAATGGATATCTTCACAGCGATAATTACACACAGAATCCAGAATAATAAACTAAACAACTGCTGTTTCAAATCCAGACAAGTTCTACAGTATGCGATTAGTTGTTCAGAAACTCATTGAACTATATGAACAGGGACTACATGATGGCGCTTATCTCTAAAAACCAACAAATGCCATTAATCTTTAAAAAGAGATCATGGAACTGTTAATCCAAATGATTTCAATACAAAATTCCTGACTTACTGCATTTGTCCGCTATACATAACTGCAAATTGTATAACCAGGGCACATACAATTATGCTTCTTAGGATCTATCTTTGTTAGCATTCATTTTCAATGTAATTCGTCGTCCATTGTCAATTGTCGCCAAATTATTCAATTTATCATTATTGAGTATATTGATACCAAATAAACCCAGGTTATGATGATTTGCCGGGTCGGAATAATATTCACAGGCTTCTTACGAGCCCATTATTGAATCTCTAATTAATAGTCGACCCAAACCACAATTGACAACCCGATTATTGGAGACGAGCCAAGACTCTTGTGTGCATGAATAAATTATATGTTCATTTGGTTACTTAACCTATTTTGATGGGGCACCAGTATATATTATTCAATTGGCCCCTTTGTGTGAATTACACAACACACGGACTCTGTTAGCCCTCTTGTGAGAGAATAGCGGCTGCTCTCTCTGTGATTTTGGTCTTCGACCGCCGGCTGCCTATTTTTGTTCTCTGTGACCGGCTACTGCTCTTCCTCACAGGAGCCCGTCTCTGGCTTCTGTTTCGTACCTCCGGTAGCCCCTGTTTGCGCCTCCTTTTTGCCCCTGTTTCGCTGTCCATTCCGGCAGCTTCTCTGCCTCCATTCACGACCTTGTCTGGGTGATTCCTTCGTGGTTGTGGCACAAGTTTTCTTTGGGATGGTCTGGTGTTGGAGTTGCTTTGTGGTTTGGGTGTTTATCCGAGCCCTGAATAATCCACTTTTGCTTGCCAATTCCATTTTGAAGGAGAAGTTTAATTCTTGCTTTATTTACGATGTTCATATTTTTATTATCAATTGATTTGGTCTAACTTGTGTGATTGGTTTATCAATTGAAGGTTGAAATTACACTACAATCATGAAGTTTACATCAGATTATCCATGGCCTTTTTTAATATAGAAGTCATGATAAACCAACTAGTGACTCAACAGCCTTAGTCTTAATTCTGGGAGAAGTGTTGTCTTTAGTCAATTTTATTTCTCCACATCGCTGTTACTTTCCTCCTCAACAGTCCAACAAAATTGAAGACAATAAGGGAGCTGTGATTTTCTTTCCCAGTATTCAGGCTCTGTCACAAGGATCCCCTTCTGCTCCAATTTATCAAGGATCTTACATAGTCGAACCATAAAGGGTCCAATCCCTGATAATCACCTTATTTAATACTCCTGTTCACTACTAATACTAATCCCATATTTTGCCTATCATATGCCACATGAGAAATAATGCACTGAAACAGCATGGTAAAGTACACCGGAAATAAACATTATATATAGAAATCCTGCAACTATCCAATAACATATGCAAACATTTACTTCCACATTTACAGATAACATTGATCCAGATCTAACAGATGATGTAATAATGTTCTGTCAACAGAGAAAAATGAGGCGTCAGGGCAATGACGTGCTACTGTTCCCAACTTCTCTGGAAAGCTGTTTGTTATATAGAGTGATTGAACCCAGTTAGAGCCAGGGTGAGGAATTCTCCTCCTTCCTCACCTTTAGCCCTTTCCACACCCAACGCGAATCTCTTCAATCCCTTCACTTATGTGCCAGGATAGAGAGAGATTTGGTAGAAAAGTGGAAGATGCTTTTTTGTATATGATAATCAAAGGGAGTGGTTCTTGAAAGTTTCTGATAGTATGCTAATTCCGGTACTTTGAGGTACCACTTTTGTGGATAAGGAGAGCAGATGGGACCTCTGTTTGATTAATCTCCTGTTCTTGGCATTTAGATTTCCGCCAGAAAGGAAAAAGAAAATGCCACAATTCTACCAATTATTATATTTTCTCGGGATTTAGCCCCTATTATGTAGAGATTTTGAGAATGTAGATTCTGGAGAATTTGTGGTTAAAAAATAGAAAACAATTATGCGTCCACGTGCAAAATTATTTTATGGGGAGATTGTATAGTTGAAATGAGTTCGGAAAAAATGAGTTTTAGAAAATGGGAGTCCAACATGATATAAATTAGATGACATCAACTAGAAGTCTAACAAGAGATGAACCAGATTATAGGTTGTAAATATGATCTGAGATTTAGCTAAATATGATCCGTATGTCTACAGCATTTTACAACTATCTGAACCTCCTCAAGACTCTGTAGAATATCCTTCTCTTATCTTGTTTCCCTTTAGTGCAAATTTCTAGTTAATAAGATGTGACATTGTGCAAAGAGTTATCTGCTAACACGTACGAACCTGATCACCATCTTTGATCTTGTAGATTTCTAAATAACTGCTGTCATTAAGTAGCTTGTGGCTATTGTAGGAAAGACAGAACTGACCCCATACATGTGGCCTGCATAAACAAATTCAACTTCCATTACGGTATCAGAAGAACCACACTTACGACCTGAATCTGCCAAAATATATAACCATTTTTCTCAGAGACAAATGAACATTAATATAACGCCACGAAAAATCCAGTTCTGAACTCATGAACATGTGACCTATATCTAACCAACTGCCACTATTTGGAAACGGAAAAATTCAAATGCAAATATGGAATGGGGGTACTTTCAATGCCCATAGCAAACAGAATTGATCTACTGCAGTTCAAAAGGCAATTCAAACATCTACCAAGAAAATGGATCTGCCATCACATGTTGAGACGGTCAAATTGAAAATTACCACCGTGGTTTAAGTGCTATATAGACAATAGAACAAAGGAATAAGCATTGGAAATAGATTGCTATTAGAATAGTAATTCATAACTACCTCAAATTTTTCCTTAATGGTCTCAGAAACACAAATGCTGACTAATTTTCCTTTTCTTTTCAACTTCATATAATCATGGGTGCAATGTACCACAAGAATATTCAACTTTCATTGCCATGCCAAATGTTCTACAATTTCACATTCATTTACAATACCCAAATAAAAATTCCACTACTTAAAATCAATTTGCTAAATCAATCCATCCAATGTCCTCCCATACACAAACAAACAGATAAAATCTCACAATTTCAAAATGCATTACCATGAAACTCTACCAGGCCCCGTCATTGGCAAATGACCAAATGCTGCCTCCACCGCCAGCTTCAGCTCCCTCACCCTCCCCTTTTTTGCCACCTGAATCTCTACAAAACCGAAAACACAAAGTAAAATCCAAAATGCTTAATTCGACATGTAATTTACACACACTAACACACACACATTAGTACAGACATGTTTTTCAGATCATCTGCATTAACCAAAAGAGGGGGGGAAATGAAGAGGAGTTTACCGAAATTTGATCCATCCAATTTGAGTACGGTAAGCCTGAGAGGCTCCTCGGGAAGCTTGTTGTAAGAAAAACTCTTCCTGGAGAAGCTATCAACGCAGAACAAAAGAGAACAATGGAATGCACGGGACATCGATCCATTGGGAACCCTCGGGGCATAAAAATCATCATCCCTCTCCACAATATGCATACTTGTGGTATGGGGAATGAGAGCTTTGAGTTTTCGAGATTCTTTGGTAAGGAGTTAGGGTTAGAGTGTCGCGATTCTAGAAAGAGAAAGAAGAGAGAGCATAAAAATGCTTCTCCTTTTCTCCTCTCTGTTGAATGAATCAATCCTGAGTCCTGACGGGTTTTTGAGGAGAGAAATGACAGTCATATTGGTTGGAGGAAGATCTAACATTTACATTAAGCGTCCTTGTCAAGCGTGTGATAACCGAATGCCATTTGTCCCAAATCCTTCAATATCTTTGTATCATAAGTTGTTGTAAATAATACGAGGAAAGTTTTATTGGCCTTTGTTTGATCCTCATTATTTTAAAAAAAAATATTTTTTTTTTCAATTATACTTTCTTAAATAAAATAATATTACAGGCAAATCGAAAGCTTTTTCTTATTTTTCAACTACACATTCTCTATTCATCTACTATTCCAAAATACATTCTTAAGAAAAAAAGGGGTTCAAATCATTTATTTGAACTCAAGTCTTATTCGACGGTTAATTTATTAGTTATTATGAAACACGTGAAATGTGACATAGAAATTGAGTCGATCAAGGAGTAGTATGCACCTCTTTAATTATATTTGAAATGCAAAAGAAATTAAATTAATTAAGATTTTATTTATTCAAATTTATGTAATTTTTTATTTATTTACGTATAATATTTATTACAGTGGTTATGCTAGATTTAACCTAAGAAAAAAGGATTGTGCTTTTTATCAATGGTTTGAAAACCAGGACATTGACCTAAAAAAGAAAGAAGGTTAAGGGTCAAAGGTCACAATAACATACAATTATAGTTACAGTCACAAATCGCATAATGTAACTGTCACAAAAACATAAATTGTGAGTCATAATTACAAATTTAGTCGCTATCACACATTTTTATATTATATATTATTTATTGGTCAAATTATTTTTTTTATAGGTCACATTATGTATGGTTACAACCACTAACAAAACAACCCCACCTCACTCCACTCCACCACCATCGATACCAATCGAATGTCAAGCCACTCACCACACCGCAGCAGCAGCACCACCACTACCACCAATCAAACGCTGCGCCACCTCACTACCACCGCCGCACCACCAATTATAACTGCAAAACAACCACAAACAAAACAACCCCACTAACTAGATCGGAAGAGGAATAAACCATCCCAAAACCGTGCTCAAGGATGATGACTGGTGGTAGTGATGAGCGATGGTGGTAACCAAAGAAGTGGCGGGAGAACGAGGAAGACGAGAAGTTTTACGACCTTTCTATTTTGATCGAAAATAAAGTAGGCTTAAGGAGTGGGTGGCTGGATGGGTGGGTGGTTAAACTTGTCATAACCCTACAAATAAATAAAAATAAAATGCCCAATAAGATTATAAGTTAAAACCTAGAGACTTGCCATTTCTCAATCAAAATTCCACAAGACAGATTGAATAGTGTTGGCGTTTCTTCTCAAATTTTCCCAACAAAATCTTTTGCATCATACAGTTTCTTATGCATCAAGATTTGCATCCGCGTCCAACGATTTTTTTGCATATATATATGCATCTCTAGTGGTAAAAATCGGTAAAATCGTGTTTGATTCACTGGTTTCCAGTTGAATCGGACAGTTTGTCGAATTTTTACTGATTTCTTTTTTTCGATTTTTTCGATCGACCAGACTAGACAAGATCGATATTTGTAACATTGGTTTCTATTAGCACAAGATTGTTATTGAACAAAATTACAAGTTTCTATCTAAATATTTCAATCTATCTCTACCTTTATTTTTCTCTTGTTTTTCTCTCCTCTTTTCTTCCCTTTGTTTGCATTCATCGTCAATTTGGTAGAAGAGCTTGATGATTCTAACATTTCATAAATATGTAAATGGGGTCCCTTTGGACGGAAACCGTCCAAAATACCATCAGTTGACCTGAAAATAAAAAAATCGGGTATATTGCCCCTTTTAAGGATGGACAATTTCGTCCAATCAGTATTTCTCATTTAATACTATTCAAATTATTTTACAATTCCCTCCACATCGTTGAATAATATTTATTCTCTCTCACTTCCAGTAACCGTCAGACAATGAATGTCTATAGATGTGTGTTCCCTGTAGAGATAAAGACTTCATGGACGAACTTGAACCTAGGAAGAAGGTTTATCAACTGCCCACGACGTAAAGATGCAGATGGATGTAATTTCTTTGATTAGGTTGACTCGCCTATGTGTGAAAGAATGAAGGAGCTGATTCCTGGACTTCTACGGGCTAAGAATGAAATAGAACATGAAATAAACACCATCCATTCAAGAAGTCATACTACATAGAAGACTTGGCTAATTGAATTTGTATGTGGAGTTTTAGTGAAATGGGTCTATACCTAGATCTAGGTTAGGTATGACCTAAAATGTTGGGTTTCTGTGTTGTAATGTGGGTCTCACAGTGACAAATTGTGTGGTATGTTGTCTTTTAACTTATTTTCTATTAATAAAACATGTTATTATTCAACTGTGATTTGATGTTTTGTTTCTCCTATGTTCATATTCTTTGTTGAGAGTGAATGATTTAGAATTAAAAGAGAAATTTTGTTTAGAAAACGATATGAAGATGGTGCAACGATGATCCCAAAGAAATTGCATAAGTCTCAGAGATAGTCCCAAATATTTTCCAGTTGTCGTAGACGAAGTTCCAAATTTTTCGAACCAGATGCATTAGAAGTTTCAAACCTTTAAAACAAGTTGCAACAGAAGTACCAAACCTTTTACTCGATTGTAGCTCAGGTCCTAACCCTTTGTAAAGTTCCTAGACAATGTTCTGTTTAAATACCAAAATTTCCACTTCTAATATATATAGAACATAAAACTGATTGTATAACACTGAAATAAGGATTGCAATGATGAGCATTCTTTTCATCTTCACTTGAAATGTACATCATCAAAAGAACAATTCAAGTTCATATTTGTCAAAAATGTCAAAACATCATCTTTGGTCAAGAATGTTATTAATCCTTTACAAAAAGATCATAGACAACACAGAAGCACTACAAGTTAAGTTCTTTTTTTCTTGTCATTCTTCTTTGCATGTGCCTGAGAGTCATTGGATGTAGATGTTTTTCTCTTGTCTTGTGATGTTGGCTATAATAGTTGCTAAGTATCTGCTTATGAACTTGGCTAGGAACTTGCATTTGTAGGCAATGAGATTGTACATGTTCCTGGCATATTCCTTCACATCTTCTACATGTCATCTTCATACTCGTTCTTGCAATTTTTGTACCTGCAAGTGGTTCAACTTATTACTTTTTTCTCATCTTCTTTGGTATGTTTGCTTGTTTTTTTTATGGGTGGATCAAGAGGATGCCTACCAAGTTTTGGTCATAAGTCAGGACTTGACATTGGTTGGATTACTGGCCGTAGGTCTTGAGATAAGCTTCCTTGGTGTATCATTCATCAATATACTCATATATGCCAATGTTCCTAGATAGCATACCAGAGATTGCATGTGTACGGGAGATTCAAGTAAGTTGACATTTTCTACGTGCACATTCCATCTCATACCATCTCTATTGTTGTCCTCAAACTTCTCACTACCGGCATAATCTGCCTTCAAGTATCTTGCATCTATAGCTGCTAGCATTTCATCTAGTTCACCTACAATCTTAACCTCATCCACTGTATACAGATCATCACCATCTACAAAATTATCATATACCTCCACGGCATTGTGTATATGATACTCAAGTTGACCATCATCCTCTGCATTCCCTTTTTCTTCCAACTTCTCCAAAACCTCGCCTGTGTCAACATCTACAACTGAAATATCATCTCTCACCTTTTCATCACATGGCAATTCCAACACTTCAACCACAAGCAAATACCACAACTCGGCAATCTTCTTATTCTCAAACAACTTCACTCAATTCATGAAGTCTGCATTCCTCACCAACAAAAATGATGCCTTACTAATTCTCTTCTTTTCAACCTTATAGAGATACCTCATTTTTAGGGGTATCCCAACATCTTCAAGGCATTATCCAATAGAAATCTATTAAACTAATCTGAATTCACGTAGTTAAGATATGCTACCTTACCTTACTCGTACACAAAATTGCGTATCTTAGCGAGTAATATACCATCATGGTGAAATAAGTAGAATTTCTCTTGTAAAATAAATTCAATCAAAATTATCATCAGGCTCAAACCCTAGTCTCACAGTACATGAATGCATAATGTGAACCCATAACTATTGCACGTTTTATGATACACCTCAATCTATAAAACAGTTAAAAAAAATCTAATATTGCAGTAGAAGAAACAACATCACGGCTCAATGCATAACAAAGAGCCCCATTATTTTCAGAAATTTGAAAATACAAAAGTACTCACCATAGACAGGAGCAGGAAGAGGGCCTTGTATGTGACAAGCAAAATTGTCAACATTGTCATCAGATTCATGACTTTCTTCACCAAACATTATAGAAAATGATCATTTCTCTTTCTCTCTATGTAATGTGGATAGGTGAATGAGAAATAATTGGTTACTTTTCAATTTTTAAATCAAATGAGAAATACTGATTGTATGAAATTGCCCTTCCTTGAAGAGGTCAATATACTTGATTTGTTAATTTTTCAGATCAACTGAAAGTATTGTGGACGGTTTCCGTCCAAAGAGACCCCATTGAATATTTATGAAAGGTTAGAGACCTCCTTTGACACAAAATGAACATATTAGGGACCGTTGTTGCAATTTTCCTAATATTTTTGTTTGGTATTGTTTGGGCTCCATTATAATGCCTTTTTTTGGAAAATATATCTTGCAATAGTAATTTTTTTTAAAGAATGTGAAGTAAAAAAAAGAAGGAAAAAAATTAGATTTATATGTAATATTGTTTCATTGAAGAATGTATGGTTTAAAAGAAAAGAGAGAAAAATGCATTTTGGATAAAATCTAGTGGATGCTGACGACCCGCAACTACAAACCTAAAACTATAGTAGC